GGGGCGGGGGCCGCGGTGTCCCTGTGGGTGGGTGTCGGTGCGGGGTTGGGGATCCCGTGGGTCCGTGTGGGGCGGGGTCTTAGGGGTGCGGGTAGGGCGGGGATCTGCCCGGGGATCCGTGCGGGGTGGGGGGCGGTGCGGAGTTCCAGGGGTCCGTGCGGGCGGGGGTCGGGCCGGGGGTCCCGGGAGCCCGAGTAGGTGCGGTTCGGGACAGGGGTGGGGGTCCGTGAGGGGCGGGCGTGGGACCGGGGATCTGTGGTGTGGGGCTCCGGGAGGGGGTCTCTTTGGGGTCGCTGTGTGCGGGGGTCCCGGGGGTCGCCCCGCGGCCCCGGCGCTGCTGACGGCGCGGCTCAGGAGCGGGTGGCGGAGCTGGAGCGGGAGATCGGGGCGGCGGAGGCGGAGATGGCCCGGTGCCTGCGGGAGTACCCGGCGCTGCTGCGGCTGCGGATGGCGCTGGAGGCGGAGATCGCCGCGTACCGGTACGCGAGGGGGGCGCGGGGGGCGCGGCGGGCGAGGGGCTTAACCCGACCCTTCTTTTCCAGGGAGATGCTGGAGAGCGAGGAGCTGCGCCTGGGTGCCCTGGCCCCGCCGTGAGCGGACCCATCACCAGACACCGGCCCTGCCGTTACCACCGGATCCCCGGTCCCGGGACCGGATCCTCAGCCCCACCACCGGACCTCGGTTCCTCCGCCGGACCCCAGACCCCCGACTCCTGCGCCCCGGGCCACGGTTCCCTCGGACCCTCTGGAGCTCTCTGGACTCACGGAGCCCCGGTCCTTCTGTCCCCCCCCTCCACGGGCCCCYCGGACTTCTGCACCCSCGCCTGCCCCGGGACCCCCGGGAGGGCAGCGCCCGTGGGGACACACACTCACCAGCCTCTCCGGGGCGGGGGTCCCGGCCCAGACCCCTGCGGAAGCACCTCAATAAAGCCCCGTGGCACCACCCGGAGCCGGCCCRTCTGGGGAGGGCGGGCAGAACCCCCGGCTGTGCTCCCGGGGTCTGTGGTGGGGTTTGGGGAGCACAGGGGTCTCTGTGGGAAGGGCGCTCATGGAGGGGGTTGGGTTCCCTTCTGCTTGGTGCAGCCCCRAGCTGGGCACCCCACAGGGGCACATTGTGGGGCCGCAGCTTTGGTGGAAACAGAGACCCACAGTGGTGGTGGGTGGTCCCAGGCACCCRCACTGCAATCGGCACTTTTGGGGTCACGGTGGGATCCTGCCCCCCAGGATGCAGGGACGGGATGGTGCTCCCGTGTCTGGGGTCGTTGTCCCATTGCAGTCCCCAGAAAGGAGACGGGTTTGGGAGGGTTTTGAGGATTAGGGGGGTCCAGTGAATCAATGGGCAGCTCTGTGGGGATCCTCTACCCCAGCCTGTCCCCGAGCTGGGCTAGAGCACCAGCAGAGCCTGTCCCAGCCGTGCAGGAGGACCCCAGAACTGAGTCCCACATCAGCTGGGACCCCCTCAGCCCTCACCCCCTCCTCACAGACACTGCCCAGGGTTTGTGGTAGCAAAGCCAAGCCCGGTGTTTAATATGGGAAAAAAAAGCTGTAAAAGGGATGTGGGTTCTGAGGAAAAGAGGTGACCGAATGTGGGGTCAGCACCATCGAAGCCAGCATTATTGGGGTGCATTGAGAGCCATCCAGGGGCTCCAGGGGCTCCAGGCCGGGGGGGTGTAGGGGTCCCGGCAGCTGATCCGCACCCGCCGCGCGCCCGCCTGCACCGGAGTCTCCTCTGCGCCCTCCACAAAYCGCTCAACCTGCAAAGGGGGACACGCCATGGTTTAGGGACACCTCAGGGAGGGGGGCAYCAGCACCCCCTGAGCCGGGCAGCGCTGGGGGAAAGCAGAGGTGACAGCCAGGGGGGACAATTCATCACCCCAAGGAGAGGAGCAGTGGAATGAAGAGGCAGGGTCATGGATGAGCATCTTCCCAGGCACAGCAGAGTCAGGGATGGGGCAGGGTGGGCACAGGGCAGGGTGGGCACAGGGCAGGGATCCCCGTGTTACCTGGGTGCCGTTGTGGAGCTCGTACTGCAGATGGTAGAGCAGCGCAAAGTAGGATTTGGGGAGGGGCCAGGAGGCCGGGGGAGCCCAGGCCAGGTGGAGCTGCTCCCCTCGCTGCTGCAGGGTCAGCTCTTGGGGCGGCTCAGGACGAACTGCGGGCAGAGGGGGCTCAGAACAGGGGCCAAGCCCCACCCCAGAGACCCTGGTGCCTCTTGGACACCCCCACCCCGCTGCTCCTGCCCTGAGCTCACCAATGTCACGCAGGAAGAAGTGCCTGGAGAGGTTGAGGTAGGAGGTGTCCGAGAGCCCCTCCAGGTGCAGCTGGAGCGGGCGCAGCTCCTCTCCGAAGGGGCAGAACGAGGGGTCAGCCAGGCTGGCGTTGAACCGGCCGTGGGCTCTGGCCACCGGCACCCACGGCCCCATGGAGCCGTCGCTGTGGGGTGGGAGGTGTGAGCAGGGCTCAGGGCTGGGTGGCCACGGGGATGGGGTGGGTTTGGGGGGTCCCAGGGCACCCACCTGCGTGTGAGACGGGCGTGGAAGACGGCAGAGGGGGGCCCGGGCCAGGAGCAGTGGAAGGAGCCGTTGTAGGACTCAGCCTGGCAGGACACGTTGATTTCCTCCTCACCTGAGGGGGCCGGGAGTGACCGGTCAGGGGCAGCGTGGGGCTGSGAATGGCCCTGGTGAGGCTCCCCCTGCCCCACATCCCTGCCCGGTGCAGCCCCACAGGCTGGCCACGAGCATCTCCTGCTCCTCAGCCTGTCCCCCATACCCTGCCCCCATCACCCCCGGCTATCCCAGTCGTGCCCCTCCGTACGGGTGCCGCTGACCACCACRTAGGTGGTGTCCAGCAGGACGGAGCCGGCCCAGCAGCTGTAATTTCCCGTGGCCGGCAGGTCCAAGCCGAGGATGGTGAGGTTGTGGCCCTTGGGCACCAATTCAGCCATGGGCTCCCGGTCCCCGTTCAGTGTCCAGTGAATGTGCTGCTCCGAGGTGTCACATCGCAGCACCAMGTCCTGGTTCAGCTTCCCCACCTGGACTGGAGGTGAGAAGCGAAGGCTGTGGTCAGAGATGGGCTGTGGTGGGGGCAGATCGTGCCCCGAACCACCGTGGGCTGTGTGCCTCATGGTCAGCCTATTCCATGGTCCCCCCCCTACTCCTGCACCCCACATCCATCCCCCACTCCCTCACCCTATACTCACCCCACCACCACCCTCATGCCCATCCTCTTATCTCCCAGCAGAGTTGTCTCAGCTCCTATCGGAGGGATGTGGGTTTGGGATGCCCCCCACTCCCTGTGGATCCCCTGCAGTCCCTGCAGCCCCCCAGACTGGGCTTTCCTCCTCCCAAACCTCCCCTGTGCCCGGGTGGCAGCACTCACACTTCGGGGGGAAGGTGGTCAGGGGTTCCGCAGGCACGAGGCACAGCACCAGTCCCACCAGCACCAGCATCTGAGGGGGAAGGGAAGGGAGGGGAAGGGCAGCCCCAGCTGGACATAGCCCAGGAGAGAGGGGCACGGCCAGCAGGGCCAGCCAGGGCAGAGCCCCCAGCCCCAGGAGCAGCATCCCCGAAGCAGAATCCCCCCGAGAACCCCCAGCCCTCCGTGTCTGTGCCTACCTCGGTGTGCGCTGCTCCGGTGGGCCAGGCAGGGCCGGGGGCTGCAGTTTTATAAGGGGCTGGACTCCATGGGGCTGCCCCAAGGTGCGGCCACACAGCCGCATCACAGTTCCCAGAACTGGAGAGCGGGACCCGCGCCCAGCCCCCCACCCCGGGACTCACCGCCGGTACTTCCCGGGGCTGGGGGCACCGGACACCCCCTGCCCCGCCCCCGAATGCCAGAGGATGGGTCCCCACGGGAAGGAGGGGCAGTGCTGGACATCTGGGATGGTGCCTGGGTRGTCCCAGCTCTCCCAGAGGGGTCCTGAGCCCCCTCATCACCGTGTGCTGCACAGAGACCCCACAGTACCCTGCTACGGAGGGACCAGCGAGGGGGTCCCGGGGGTCTGGAGAGGGACACACAGGGCTGGGCCCCTCTGGGTGGACTGTGAYGGGTCCCCATAGCAGCTCAGGGTGATGCCCCCAGGTTGTCTCACCCCTTCCCTCCTCTCCTCGGGCCCCACGGGATGCTGTGCAGAGACGAGGACGTAGGGACAGAGATCATCGTGGTCACCAGCCACCCTTTTGCCACCCCACTGATGGCAGCCCACGGCGAGGGCACGGGGCAGATCCCACCCCGGCAAGGGGAGCGCTGCACCCTTTCACGTACTTTCTGGACTTCTTAGAAAGCAGAGGGGAAGTGGGGTCTGTGGGAGGCTGGGGGAGCCCAGCTCTCACCTTTCRTGGCCAGGATGGGGTGGTGGGATCTCCGGACCCCTCCCTGAGCAGGTCAAAGCCCCTGTGTGTGGCTTGTGGGGAGGGGAGGGGGATTTGGGACCCCCAGCCCCCAGGGAACAGCTCAGCCTTTGGCTGTCACACCATAGGGCACCCCGAGAGGGGAGGGAGGAATGGGGGCACCTTGCCCGGGGGTGCACCCGTGCCCTGTCCTGTCCAGGGGAAGCAGGCACTGGCGGCAGGTCTGGGGGCTGTTCGCCCCCACTTCGTCAACCGCAGCTTCCCCTTGGCTTCTGCAGAAGAACCGCAACCGCAGAGGGGAAGCCCCGATGCAAAGGCCAGGGCTGCCCTCAGCACGGCTGGGAGCCACGCCTGGCACTAGGGTGGGACGGGAGTGAAACCTCACAGACAGAAACCGCCCCCGGGAGAGAGGAGGAGCAGGGACAGAGGCCACTCTGGTCAGAAATCTGTCGTGATGTCCCYTGGCAGGATGGATCCCACCCCGGGTGGACCCCTCTGTGGTGATGTCCCCACGGCAGGACGGACCCCACCCTGTCCAAACCCGCAGTCATGGACACAGAGCCAGGAGCAAAGGTCACAAAACTTTATACAGGAGGGACCCGCGCGTGGCCCCTTGGCCCCGGGCGCACGGGGAGCGGGACAGACCCCGCAGCACCCCCAGGAAACACGGGGTGAAGGAGCCCAGTGGGGACGGCCCACGCGACTCCCCCGGCCGGGGCCAGCGCTCCCCAATCCACGCTCTGCGGTGCCGGGGTAGTCCCATGGCTGCTGGCCCGCGACCGACCGCGGCACGGTGCTCACACCTCCCTGGGACCTGGGACAGCCCCTGCAGCCGCACGGCCCCGCTGGGGCCTCCCCGGGGCTCCCCTGTCCCCAGGGTCACGGCCAAGCCCAGGCAGCCCCGCTGGGGCTCCGGTGCTCCGGCTCACTGCAGGACGCAGACGTCCCCCTGCACATCCTYGTGTCCGGCCGCCTCCACCAGCGGCTCCGGCTCTGCCGGCGCGTCCTCCGCCGCCACCACCTTCTCCCGCAGCTCCATCAGCAGGTCCCGGCCCTCGCTGGGTGGCAGATTGCTCAGGTAGTAYTGGGGGGCCAACTCCACCAGCCTGCGGGGACAGGGTGGGGTCAGCCAGCCACAGGGACGCCCTGGAAGGACTCGTCCCTCTCTGTCCCCACATCGATGCTCACATTTGGGGCTGGATCTCCGASACCACGCGCAGGCAGTTGTCCTGAGAGATGGTGAACTCGTGGTAGAGCACCCAGGGGGGCAGGCGGCGGGGTGGTGGCCGCAGCAGGTACCCGCAGGCGGGGGCCAGGTGAGCCACGTGCTTGTGCGACAGCATCACGTAATTGCCAGAGCCATCGATGTCTCGGGCGACCTGGGAGGGATCAGGAGGGAACGGGGCGGCTGGCACACCCCCCGCAGCCACCATAATTCCCCACAGCCCCCTGGGCCCACCTTGAGGAAGTACCCAGAGATGAGGGCCCTCTGGATGTTGAGGRCGTTGGCGTCGGAGCCGAAGGCGGGCGGTGACACCGGGAGCTCGATGCGGCGCATCACCTCGAGCAGCTCGGAGCGCACGGTGCCCGCCAGGCGCAGAGCCTCGGAGCACACCCCGTGCTTCCGGCACCAGCCCTCGTCCCC